AGGTGGTGAGCAGTTGCATCGCGCATCACTTGTTTTGTATATTCTTTTATCATTATTATTATTATTATTTTCTCTTCCTCTTCTGTCCTATTAAACTGTCTTTATCTCAACCCACAGGTTCTACTTTTTTTTTCCGATTCTCTCACCTATCCCACCAGCGGGAAGTGAGCGAGTGGCTCTGTGGTGCTTAGTTGCCAGCTGGGGTTAAACCACGACACGCTTCTTAAACTCAGAAGTCTATTAACAGTGACTGCAAATTGTATTTCGTAATATATAAGACGATTTTAAAAACAGTGAAATTATTTCTAAGGTAATAAATGGTCAAAGCTCATTTTACAACAGCAGGGATATTTAAAACAGAAATCTGCAATATACTATAACCAAACTGCCTTAGGGTAATCCTCCCCCTTTTTTTATATGGAAGTTTCTATGAAATAATCCAATACTTTTAAAATTCAAGCTAACAAAAAGATTTCACTTCAACATTTGACTTCTGGATTTAAAACAATTTCTCATTACAGATGCTGCAAAAGCCAAAGTAGCAGATATGTATCATCAAGTTCGAACAGGCAGTTTGTTTTTTCTTTAAAAAAAAATACTTACACATCCACAAATAGTACATAATCTTTACTGTCTTCTGGAATTCTACAGGAATGTCTACAGAAAAGTCCTGGTAGAAACATGGACCCACTGGAAAATTCTCAGGAAGAGGTGGCCAGTTATTTTTTCTACCTGCCAATCAGAAAAAAACCCAACTTTATAATAGTTTTAATTTCTGTATACTAGAAAGAGATATGCATTTGGTCTTGTTCAAATTGTTTTATGCACAAGTTTCACAAGCATATGAATAACTTGGGCTACCAAAACCCAAGAGTTTTATTAGCAATCCTCACACAATACTGAAAATAAACTTCAGAAATAAAATACAATGAAGCGCAGACAGATCAAGGAATGTACAATATTTTATCTATGTAAAAGACTAAGCAGGCATCTGACAGGTCCCATAAAGTAATGAGAAAAGAGAATTCTTCACAAAACAATTTCTCAGAGTTCCTTGACTTTTAAATGCACATTTCCCTGTCCCACCATACTCTCATTCTTTGTAGAACACAAAGACTGGGGACTGAAAAGTATTCTCCATTCTCAGAATCCTGATATTTTTAACACCTGGATATCTCTAACACTTTGAACTAGTTCCCAATACAGTTTACAGTCAAAGCTTTATCTAAAAGCCTGTAAGCCTGAAGAAAGGCAGCTATTTAAATGGTCTAAACTACTTTTTTGTTACAAGAAGATGCCTACAGCATCAATATATTTTGATACAGTTGTGTGACAGAGTCAGGACACCACAAAGGACAACACAGTATAAGACACTTGGATTTCCTGTATGATGATCTGCTCACAGACTAGAGTATACATTCTGCCAAACACAAGTCATACCAAGCATAGACTCAGAGATTCAACTGAGATAAATACAACAAACCTTTACCACAGCATTTCAAATTCTGGATGCAAGAGATACATTAATCACCATATTCCTAAAGTGGAGCTGAACTAGAGACTAACCTAAAAGCACCTTTATTTGAAATTCTGACAAGGTTTTGTTTGCAATTTCTATCTTCAACCATATCTTTAGTAGCAGTTCAGCTGGTAAGAACAGAAAACTTGCAAATCTTACACACTTGCATTATTTCTTATTTCTTTCCCCACTCAGGCAAGATGAAGCTGACAGTTCTGTCCAAACAAGTCCAAGGCACTAAGTATCTGTTAAATTTTCTGCCTCTTCCACTGAACATTTTTTATCAAGCCTTTTAGAGCAGGAGATTTACAGAGGGAGCATACAGAAGGCAATCAAGTAATATTCCCATCCATATTAAAAACTACTTAGGGATTTCTTATATGAAAAATATCTGATAATAATTCAGATCTTCATTCTGCAGTATATGGTTATTTCTTTCAGGACCGATAGTTTCAAGACAGAGTCACAGAAAAAATCAGATATCTTATAATAGTTCAAGTTCTTATTTAAGAATTTTATTTGATGTGCTTTCCCACCCCTGTGACACAGGTTTCAAAATTTTCAACTAAGACTGAAAATTACAGCTTGGTGAGATGCTTTGAGATCAAAAACCAAGTGGCCTTTTTCTAAATACACTTTGGATACTCATATTCCAAGATTGTATCTTGATAAGCAAAGAGCTAGCTCAGAGTTATTTCATTCAACACAACAAGTTACCATCTCAAGGCCTATTAACATAACTTCAATGGCATGCCTACACTATGAATGCAGACACCCCCAAACTAGCTTCATGCAAGCCCAGAAAGGGATTTTCAGGCATGCCCAAATGGACTAGCTGAAATAGGAAGCAGCACACTTTAATAAGCTCAAGTGCAATACTGCACAGGACCTGAGCAGAGAAGACCGAAGGCATTGAGCTGAGCAGACCTACCAGCTTGAAGATCTTTGCACTGTAGTCAATTGCATATGATGACAGTGTCCTAGATGTGCAGCCAGTATCTTAAATTGAATGCAAATAGCTAGAGTACTGTTGCAAAAGACCTTGCCCTCCAATCAAAACATCTCTACAGTGTTTCCAAAGGAGTTCGAATGAGTGTGCAAAAGAAAAAAAAAATCAAAAGGAAAAGAATATTTTTCTCCTCAGTCACAACATACAATTTCTGATTTGCAGCATCTTTTATGCAGTCATTTGGTAAAAACCCAATATCCTCTTTAAAGCTTTAAAAGCACTCTCTTCTCTATTCAGCCTTCCTAAAGAATCCTTTAGATTCTTCATGGACTCTTCAAGCACTTTGATGTGAACAATTGCAACCTAATAACACAGTAAATACCCATTTTAGAAACATCCTGAAACACGCATTTGGTATCAGTTATGTTCCCTATGATATAGATGAACAAAACTGTCCCTGAAGCCTGGAAGAGACAAATAATCAATCCAGACCATCAATATAAGTTAGTGAAATTAGATGAAGAGCAATATATGGAAAAGGAAATGAAAAAACAACCAAAAAAATCATTATCTGGGAGAAGAGGTACAGAGATTTAATAAAGAGACTGAAAAGAATAAATACTGAGAAAATAAAAATGGTTTAATGTAGAGACAATATCACCATGATTCTTTTCCTTAGAAGAAGAATAGCAATTCCCCATTCCCAGATCCTAGCATATGACTGGCATAAAGTTCCCTGAGAATTTGAATTACTAAGCGATTACGCAATCTGGAATTGTACTGCTGTTTTGTTTAGGTTTTTTTCTAACTTCAGTCTGAAGTTCTTCCTTTTGAAAAGGAATATTCCCATAGATCTACTTCTAGCAAAGTATCTTCAGTTAAGAGGATGTAAATCTTCTCGTTTGTGAAATTGCAGTATGAAAACTGATGGTTTCACACAGCACACATAGTTTGTGGCAAAATGAGATACGGATCTTGATTATGGGTTCCAAAGTGTCATATGAAAAATTAATAAAAGATTAAGAATAGAATAAATCTTTCTGCTATTTGCATAGAATATTGTGTCTGTAACACAGCAAAAGAAAATGTTTCAAAACAGGAAAGTTCTCCTACAGCTATAAATACTGACAGAAGAGAAATCAAAGAGATGTTACTTATGAAGTTACTTTTACTTCTTCTCAAACCGCTCCATTTCTATTCAATAGTATTACTTAGATATTAACCTAGAATAAAAATAGCTGATAGCAGAGAGCAACATGTAACATAGGCCACATTTAAAAGTTTTGCTGTGAAAATTTGCACAGGCCAGGCCAGTTTTTATTCACTGTATGCATTGTCCCAAAGGAGATAAATTTTCTTTTCCTGAAGAGTTTATAAAAACCCCTCTTTGATCTGTTTCACATCATCACTGTAAAACTAAAAGAGTTTCTAAGAAAAAGTGAAATTTCTGCAATTTAAAAAAGTATTTTTTTCATGCATACCCCCCTGCTGATTGAGACTCTGCATTTCCCTTTCTCTGCGATCTAGTTCAGCTGCTTTTCTTTCCAGTTCTTCTTGACGCTTTAGCAGTTCTGCCTGGGCCAAGGCATGCTCCTGAACAAAACAAGCATCATTAGATATTGATTTAAAAAAATACAAACACAAAATAAATATTCCAAGTCTATTTTCCATAATTAAGCATTTCCAGTTATGGATGAAGATTGACCTAATATTACACGAATTCATGCAGTAACTGATTACTTAAAGGCAGTATTTATTTTCATAAATCATCAGGAAAGCAATGCTTATTTATAAAAGACACTATTCCAGAAGTGTATTTATATGATTATAATTGAAAGGAACCTAGTGCCTGAAAGTTATAGACAAACCTTTGCAATTTGTGTGTAAGCAGGTGGTTCTTCTGTTGGTTTCATTATTGCTGGCTGGGTACTGGATACATTAGGCATTTTCACATTTCCTGGAGGAAGCTAAGAAAACAAGAGACAATTATAGGGAAACAGTCTCCTATTCTAATAAACATATTTTCATTAACTTTGTAAGAACTAATCCAGTTGTTTTAAAGGAAGTGTTACTGATAAACTGAAAATCCGATATGCTGCCTGCAATATTTATAACCTTTAGGAAAAAGAAGATAACTATATTCTGTGGTGCAGCGTTCTGCTTATTTGTTTTTTACACTGCACTACTTGCCATAAACACACATGGAATTTTATGAATCAGTAGAAAGTAAATAGAATTTTAATTTTGTTCAGACATGAATATGAATAAGGACAGTTATTGTTTAAGAGAACTGCAGGATTTAACAGTGATCTATTCATATTCTCAAACACGATGTCATTTATTATTAATGTCTTCCAGAGCTTTCTACTTAACAAAGGCTTATATCACCTGGTTAACTAGAGAAGCAATATACTGTATTAAATTTTCCAATTCAGGATCCACAATCTATTGCTTAACTGTTCCACCAGTATGTACTGTAGTATCTAGTTTCAAGTACCACTAGCAATTTGGTCACTTGGTCGTTACCTATAAGAACATATCTTAAAAGAAGCTTTTAGTAGCTCGGGTTTTTCTGTTTAGGGTTTGTTTTTTTTTTTAATCCTCTCCTGCTTATTCCTGTTTGTCATCTCCTCTGACTTTCTCTACATCTCTCTATCATACACAATGTTAACCAGTACCTATCAAACCAAGGAAACTACTACTGCCTAGATTAAAGTTATGAACTGAACTTTACCAAAGCAGACCAGTATAGCCCTACTATGATGTTATTTTATTCTTAAATATGCTTGGGAGAAAACTACAATTCACATCTTTCTTTGTGTAGAGCTTGCAACATGAAAGACTTCCCTGTTCTGTGATCTTTTAAGACAGAGAACCACTTGTTCCTAATCAGACTGAAATCAAGAACAAAAATATGGTGAGAAGTGTGATGTTTTAAATACTAAAAGCACCTTAAAACAAAGCAGGAATCAACTGAAAACCACTAACTTGGCAAATTATGACTTGGTCCAGCTTATCTGTATCTTTTCCAACTCTGGTGTGTTGACCCGGGCTGGACACTAGGTGCCCACCAAGCTGCTCTATCACTCCCTCTCCTCAGCTGGACAAGGGAGAAAGAATATAATGACAAGCTTGTGGGTCGAGATAGGTACAGGGAGAGATCACTCACCAATTACCATCATGGGCAAAACAGACTCCACTTGGGAAATTAATTTAATTTATTGCCAATCACCACCAGAGTAGGGTAATGAGAAATAAAACCAAATCTTAAAAACACATTCCCCTCACCCTTCCCTTCTTCCCGGGCTCAACTTCACTCCCAATTTCCTCTACCTCCTCCCCTCTGAGTGGTGCAGGGGGATGGGGAATGGAGGTTGCGGTCAGTTCATCACGCGTTGTCTCTGCTGCTCCTTACTCCTCGGGGGAGGACTCCTCACTCTCTTCCCCTGCTCCAGCATGGGGTCCCTCCCACGGGAGACAGTCCTCCACAAACTTCTCCAACATGAGTCCTTCCCACATGCTGCAGTTCTTCATGAACTGTTCCAGCGTGGGCTCCTCTCTCCATGGGTCCACAGGTCCTGCCAGGAGCCTGCTCCAGTGAGGGCTTCCCACAGGGTCACAGCCTCCTTTGGGCACATCCACCTGCTCTGGCATGGGGTCCTCCATGGGCTGCAAGTGGATATCTGCTCCACCATTAACCTCCATGGGCTGCAGGGGGACAGCCTGCATCACCATGGTCTTCACCATGGGCTGCAGGGGAATCTCTGCCCTGGTGCCTGGAGAACCTCCTCCCCCTCCTTCTTCACTGACCTTGGTGTCTTGCAAGGTTGTTTCTCTCACATATTCTCACTCTTCTCTCCCAGCTGCTGTTGCACAGCAGTTTTTTCCCCCTTCTTAAATATGTTATCACAGAGGTGCTACCACCATCGCTGATTGGCTCAGCCTTGGCCAGCGGCAAGCCCGTCTTGGAGCCGGCTGGATCTGGCTCTATCGGACACAGGGGAAGCTTCTAGCAGCTTCTCACTGAAGCCACGCCTATAACCCCCGTGCTACCAAAACCTTGCCACCGAAACCCAATACACCAACCATCTTCTGAAATGCACAAACGCAATACACTGAGGAGAAAACATCATGCCTGAGTAAACTCCACCTCTGTGTGTAATATTGCAGCACATCTCAGCAACATCAGCTGATTCCAGCATTTCAAAATTATCTTTCCACCTTATACATCAGCTCCTAACAGAATACTGAGGTATCAGAGAGGTCTCATTTCTCAGAAATACTCAGTGATTTAAGCTTTTCATCATAAAAAAGATTACTCAGTGTCCTAGGATGAAAATAGCCAAAGTTGGTTAAAGACAGTTAATAATGCTATTCCGTATGTCGGAGCCTTCTGTGATAAGGACAAAAGTCTCTTGTACAAGAACTCCTAGACAACCATCAAGAATCTTATCAACTGCTTCAAACATAAGATACAAACCCTGCACCAGAGTAACAAATTGCTACTGAACAAAAACTCTATGCATTATGCATTGTAGGCCAGAGCAATGCCAGAAAAGCCCCAAAAAAGTCTGATTATTGTAGCTCTGTGGCTAAAGTAACAATAGCTTTGAAAGCATAACTGCTAAGCAGCTGCCTGCTAGACTAATGAGCAAGACTGCCCACAATCTCCAGTAAGGATTCCAGTAGCCCTTCATAGACACCTGTAATAGTGTTTAAAGGTGGATTGGCAGACTAGAAAATATTTGAACAATGAACTCAAAGATACTTATCCTTGAAAGACACTTTGTCCAAACAGCCTGCAGTGCTGCTAATGACTGGGACATGCATATATGCTTATGAATAAAGGAACCAAACAGAAAGCTCATTAGAGATACATAATCAAAGATGCTAGCCAACAGCATACATGATAGATGACATTAATATAAGGAACTAATTATGTACAAGATTCTTTGGATTCAGATTTCTGCATCGTTTAGGTTCCACTATATGCTATCTGGCCACCTATACAGTGTTAGAATTGCTGTCCACTAAAAGTCTGTGCTCCCTGGAAGAAGACAGACTAAAACAGTGATTTGTAGCAAGGGCTGTGCATCCTGGAATCCTAAGAAAGTCAAGGGGGGCTGGGGGACAAATGCTATTAAGAGATGTTATAAAAGCTACCTCTTCCAGCAGACTCTGAGACCTGGGGACTCCTCCTTTCCAACTGCTGGAGCCTAGGTCCAGCACACCTCTGAGGGCTCTCCATCCCAGGCTGACAGATACAGCTGCTGCTTTCCTGTTTCGAGGTCTGGCTAGTAGCAAGATTGAGTGCATATCCCAGAGATACAAACAAATACACACACAACCACATGTACCAAGGACACAAGCTACCACAGGCAGGGCACTGCCTTTAACAACACCCCCACGCTATCAGAACTACATAAAATATAGGTACACAGAGTCATTTCCCATTCCTCCTCTCCAGCTGATCAGCACTGAAGTTCACTATTGAAAAACACATGCCTCACTCTCCAGATTTACAAGCACACCAACAACTGCAGATCCTTCAGACATGAGCACGGGCCCTCAGCCTGTCTGATATACCTCCCTGGATCCGGGGCCCTCTTACCTGGTATACAAGTTTCCTCCTGTTTGCCAGTTAGCCCAGCTTGATGTTCACTAGCAGATTCATGCACTCAAACACTAGTCTCACAAGCATCCCCCATCCTCACAGCTCCCTCAAACACCAGCACAGGCTCTCAGCTTACCATATATCTAGGCCCAGACCCTGGACTCCCTTACTTACTTTTGACTCAGACTTTGAGTCTTCCCAGAGACAGGTTTTCCTCCTATTTGCCAGCTAGTCCAGCTTGAAGTTTGCTAGTGAATTACACATATACACAGAGAGGAAAATGCACTGATCCCTCCAGTTGCTAGCACCCCAAACACTCTATCCCAGCTAAAACCAGGACAGTATCCACCCCTTATTCCATACCATATACATCATGCCCAGGTACTACCCTTTCCAATACATTCCAATTGATCACCACCACTTTTCCAGGCATTTGAGATAGGTATATAGATACACACACACATAGATATAATTTCCTTAATCTGTAGGCTATCCCTCTCAAATGTTTGTTGAGTTCATTCAGTCCATGACTTTGGGCTCCATCCATCATAACAGTCTTTCAGGGCAGGAAAGATGGTGTGTGGTGTTGGATTGTTGCATGCTGAAGTCAGTTCTGGTTCCATCACCACTGCACCTTGCTCCGTTTCCTCAAAGCTCATTCTTCATTAATCTGGGTGATTCTTACTGTATACTGTTGATATGGCATATAGCCACCATAGAAGTGATGACATCCAGTATTATATAGCAACTAACATTATACAGTTCAGTTCATTGGCTATTTTCACCCAAAATCACACCCCCTTGAGGTACACATCAGACTTTCCCATCCTCCTGCATCACCCACCAAGTGCACCCAGGTCCTTGAGCAAAAGCAATCCCATGAATGGGCTTGCCTTTGCCTGAGGCAGGAGTAACCCAGGCTGTCTTCCCCAGCATATTTTTTAGGTGCACTACGGGGACTTTATCCCCCTCTACCGT